CTTAAGTTACCATAGTAAAGATACATTGTTCTTTAATATAGCCTCATGGTGGTAAGTTGAACCCTAAAAGCTACCCTTATTATTAAGGGGTTACTGGGCAAACTAGAAAATGAGGATCTTGGCTGCTATGGACTACACACCAATATTCTGGTAACCTAAACTCTAAAACCTGCAAAGGTGTAGTATGGTAACTTAATTTAAGTTCCTTAACAACAACATACTTAGCCAATAGAAGAAATTTTAGCCTTATTGGGCTTCCTTTTTTGGGTCTCCATAATAAAGTTTAAGCTTTTTTAGCCCTGGTTATTGGGGGAGAGAGACAACCTGCCCTAAACCCGAAACTCTAAACCCTAAACCCCAGAAAATGAGGATCTTGATGCAACTGGACAACCTTGAGGCCTGAGCATTCCAGCAAGGACAGGGCTCCACTTTGGGAGTCCTCTTTGGGGTTGAGGGACTCGGGTTTAATGATTATGTAGGGTTTTTAGGGATTAGGGATTAGAGTTTAGGGATCATTGGAGCTTATAATCCGGTCCATCTGTTTATGAACATGGGGCGCAGCTCAAAGAATTGCAGTTGTTCGAAGGTTTTTTGGAAGTTCCATGTTGGCATGTAGGGGCACTCGGCGCCACCTGGAGCCTCCTGACACCCAAAAGCGCAAACCCGCCACTGGTTTTAGGAACAGAGGTGACAGGCTGCACGTTAAGTCTGTTGTAAGCTTAGGCAAAACCCTAAACCCTAAAACCCTAAACCCTAAACCCTAAAGATAATAAACTGTTGAAAGCGCACATGGCCCCGTTGACGACTCCTACAAATCGACGCCCCTAGCGAGCCTGGTCCCCCCCCATCAAGCACTCGCATCCCCGAAAAATGAATTTCCCCGTGGCAATATGGGAGCTTCCCTAAATTAGGGGTACCATTTTGAGGGTCCCTAGAATAAGGACTCTAGTATATTTGGGTATATATTGGGGTCCCCTTGTTTTTGGAAACTACCATATATTGTAGCACATGGGAGGGGTGGTGGGGGCTATTCTTGTGGGGAGAGGGATTAGTCAGGCGTGGCGTGGCCACCTGTTTGCTAGCTTTGTGGATCACCTGATTGTTGCCTTTACGCTCGAAATACTGAGTGTGGGATGGGCATGCGCAGAGCATTTAATTTGCATATGGGTCCGCTTGATGTGTTCCAGGGGTGCAAGGCTCTTGCTGCTGAACACTTGTCAATTAGCAGTCCCACAAACCTTATAGGCGCCTCGCAAGTCAAAGCGCCCCAAGTGTCCCACAGCATGGTGCTCCTGTTTAAATGTACACTACATGTACGCTTCCTTTCACCAAAGTCAAACGACCACCCTGCTGAAACAGGTGGTGGAGGGAACGCAGGTGCGGCTCCTTCGCATGTTTTTCCGCTCCCTTCCCGCCTCAGCACGCTGCTTGTCCGAAGCGCACGCGGCCTTCCTCCGGAAGCCTGGCATACAGAGGATGTCTCAACATGAAGAGTTCCTTCTCGTGCCAGTATGGCACTTCTATCACTAGCCTTATTGGCATCAGCCGTCAGAAGTGAGATCCTGGTAACCAATGTTTGCGAAAGTGAAGGTTTACAGGCATGCAATTGTTCAGCCAAAGTGCTTACCATTACGAAGCTCCGGGATCGAAAACGGCATCCCTGAAAATTTCGCTGCACAAGCGGCAACAATGACCTTTACGACTTCAAAGGTTTACATGGCTCAATAAAGTGGGACACCCTTGCAAGTCTGAGTCGCTGAATGACAGTGATGTCCAGAGAGGTACAGTAGCACCGCTGATCAGGCGCAAAACCTGTTGCTTGACCCATCTCAACCGTAGGACAACTGGAACCACAAAGCAGGGACAGCACATACAGCGGTGATTTTCGTTTAAACTGGTCAACCAAGCAGCAGCTTTAAAAGTAACAAGCAGGTGAATAAACAGCATGCTTAAGCCTTAGACTGCGTGCGTAAGCCTCAGCCTAAAGTCCTCAAGATTTGTGGGAAGCCTCCCTAAACCCCAGACGCATTTCTGCCAACCATGAAGACGTGATGAAGGAAACTGCAAAAGTCCAAACCAACGCAAGGCTTGAGGCTCTACCAGAAAAGATGGCAATCATTTGGAAACTTCAGAATACATCATGTTACTAGGCTCCAGACGAGCCAAAACTCTGTGCAATTTTATAACCGCATACGAATGCTTTTTGGAATGCTATGACAAACCACCCGCAGCAGTATGATAGTATTCTGCTAGAGCATGTGCTACTGCTTTATAAAGCTATATATTTTACCCTGAATCCTCAACCCTAAACTCTAAGCCCTAAACCCTAAATCCCGAGCCCTAAACCGTATGTCTTCTAAGACCATTGAGGAAGGAGGCCGGACAGCTGTCCCCGGGGGTCCTAACGGAACTCATCCGCGCCTGCGAGGATGCCAGCACCTTTTGGGGTTAAGGGCTTAGGTTTTAGAGCTAAAGGTTTCGGGGTGTAGGGTTTGGGGTTTGGGGTTTAAGTTTTCCTTACTTGTGGATAGTGGGTACAGTGGGTCCTGCATGAATGTAAAGCAAAATGAAAGCTACTGAAAATCTTTGGTCTCAGGGTTTAAGGTAGAGGGTAAGGAGGAAAGGACAAGAGCGTGGAAGCTACTATCTTTGCGGTTTGGGGTTGAGGGTGGTTGGTTGGGAATCGTGAAGGAAGGATTCACATGGACTGTTTGAATTCTACGGGAGATCATGTTGGACCAAGAATCCATTCCGCTATTCCCCGTAACCACCAGTAAGCCTGGGGTCCATTTCCACCTGCCGGCCAGCAGCTGAGGAAAACCCGGGTTCCCTACACAAACTCTGATATGATCTGTTTGTATGAGCAATCGTCAATACCTGTATATCATGGACTACGATAAACTGTGTCTTGAGGCTGGCCCCTGAGCCCGCGCCTGCCGGCCAAAAAGAGAAAGATACCCTTCAATCTAAGACTCAAACTAGGGTTGTGTTTTGGATCCAATCTTGCATCTAAACCCTAGGCCCTCAGCCCCTAAAAGCAAGATGCACTTCTTCTGTTTGGCGCCGAACGCCCGGGGAACGAAAGCCATCCACGGCAGAGTATTACATAAGGAGTCTCGAAGAGCGCTCAAACCTCTCTGTATTGAATAATTACCGACACTTGTTGTGAGGGGCCACCAAACCCAGCCGGAGATCCAGTGGACTATGTCAAGATCAACTTTGTGATGAATTCCTGCTACCGTAGCTACAGTCAGCCAGGATCTCTAGACTCCAGAAGTAGTCTTCATGAAACGGGCTACAATCTAGATCCCCAGATACAAGAATCTGTATTCATTGCAGGGATGTCCCACAACAAGTTCTTGGCAGCCCCCAACTAAGAGCCGAAGGATTGCGCGGGAGGTGCTGCAAGCCCCTTTAGCATCGAGCAGGGGCGCCAGATGTTGGCAGAGACCGCAGCTGGCTTAAAGAAGAGCCTCCCCCTAATACTTCTAGAACATCAACAGCGTGAGCATACAAATCATAGTAGTTGGTGGTAGTGGTAGTGGTAGTGGGAATGGCAATGGTAATGGTTGGTAACAATCGGATTACTAATACTACTGGTAGCCATGATACAACAAGTAATTCTACGAGAGCTTGTTACTGGTTACGTGCGGTGGTTTTGGGATGGCTGTACCCCGGAAATTGCTCGGAACCTGAGTCCCATCCCCTACCTCAAAGCCTGCTCTCCATTGATGACACTCATGATACTGAGCGATTTTAGCAGAAATAACAAAAGCTAGAGTAAGAGGTAAGAGCAAGTGTGAGCAGCAGAGGATGACGAATTGCATTTTACTTGGTTCTAAAAATGGCCCATTTGATTTTCACTGAGTTCCCATTGACTTTTGGATACGAATATCCCAACTACATCTCAAATGGGTTTTGACCTGATCTCTACCACTTTCAACTAGATTTCAACCGATTTTACATGTAAACATGTTTCGAAGCTAATTACCACAAAAAATGTGTTGTCCTGTGTGTTTTCCCATAGATGTGAAAGAAAGATCCTATGACGAGAGGTCCGCAAGGGGTAGCTCAGTAAGCAATGTTGGACTTCTTGTTGCTTTAACGGTTAATAAACACGTCACATGTTCGAATCTGCTTTCTTTTCTCAATTTCAGAGCACCCAAGTGATTCAGCAAAGCCTTCCTTATTTCGGATTTGAGGAATCCAGATATAAGCTTTCGTGTTTTGGGCTGTCAAGCTGGACCTCAAGCCTTTTAAACTGGTCGCCTTACAAATTCTTTCCTAGGGTTTGGAAATAAGTTTCTTTAGATCCAGTGTACGTTGGCACAAGACGGCCGCTGCCTTTAAAGTGTTCTTGGACACTTGATTTGGCCAAAACTATTTGCTTTGTAAATACGAAGCTACGGGTTTTGCGCCTTTTAAAGGCTTAACGCCAGCATTGCTGATTACGGGGCTTTTGCCGTATCCTGCACAACTAGTTCGCCACATGCATTTGTCCCCCTAGGTACCTCGGCAGTAGCCTTTTTCCCTTTTATTTTAGTGTCTCCTTAGTAAAGCTGAACATGAGGAAAATGATTAAACCCAAAATAGTAGTTTCCATCTTCTTTTCCATTGTCCCTATATAACCCCTGTAGAACCTCAATATGACCCTAATATGAAAAGGGCACCCTTAGTGCTAAGAGGTTACTGGGGAAGCAAAACCCTAAACCCTAAACTCTAAACCCTAAACCCTAAACTCTAAACCCTAAACCCTAAACCCTAAACCCTTATCCCACCCACCAAAAACATGCAGAACCTCAGGCTCGGCCTTGCCCGTATTCTCATGGAAACCCTAAACCCTGAACCGTAAGCCCTAAACCTTGAACCCTAGGGTTTAGGGTTTAGGGTTTAGGGTTTAGGTCAACCCTGAATCTTAAACCCTAACCCTGAACCCTAAACCCTCAAGGGGGGGTTCATTGGGGGAGGGGATTGCTGTTACGTTGGCTATGGAAACCAAGGTGAGGGACAACTATCTCAAGCGTCCACCCGGCGGCGAGCCCATTAAGTTGAGCACTTGCTCCTTGCTTCTTCAACTCCATCCCTGGGTCTTCAAATTTCCCAAAGTATTTAACAGGGTTTAGGGTTTAGGGTGTGTATAGGCGTTTGGGCCCACAGCAGGCAACTCTAACTTTCGAGGTCTTCTTGTTTTTTGCGGGCAGTAGTTCGCCAGGGCGACAGGGCCTTCTGTTTAAGCGGAGCATACAAAGTACACGGCATAATCTCATCCTCCTGTATATTGCAGCACCTTCCTCTGTGGATGGTTTCGGGGTAATGAAGCTGGAACACCTGAATCCCAACGATTGTGTTAAGGCTTGCGGTTTGTGCGCATGCACGACCTGGCAGACCGCATTGCTGACGAAGTGCTGCTGACACCCGTTCCGTGGATCTCAGAGGTTGTTCCTTCCTGAAATGAAGCCCCGCCCCGGGCACAAGAACCCCATTTCCTGGCCGGCAGGGCTTATGTGGATGTTTAACCTTGGGGAGTACCGGGTTGATATTCAGGAACTTAATTTAAGTTACTATATTCGGAAACCCTTTTACCATATGTACCCTTTATGATGGTAGGTTCCTTAACAGCAACCCAGAAAGGCTGTGTAGTTTTGTTGACCAGAACTCTGCAGTAAGACCTTGGCCCTTCGTCAGATGCTTCAAAATGACATGAGGGTTTAGGGGTTTTTGGGTTTAGGAGTTTAGGGTTTAGGGGTTTAGGGATGAGGGTTTAGGGTTTGGGGGTTTAGGGTTTAGGATCCAAGCCCGTTGTTACTGCCCTACAGCTGCTTAGCAAGGTTGAATCTGATCGTTATCTCTGATGCTACTATCTTTAAGGGTGAAACTCTGGCCACCGTCAAAATTTTTGGTAGCTTTGAGAACCTAAGTACAACTACGCTGCTTACAACTGTAGTGTCAGCTGAGCACCAGGCATTTCCCTTGAGGAATGCCGATGTATGTGTGTTTATATATATATATATATACACATATATTCCTTGAGTCATGCATGTATGTAAGCTGTCAGCTTGCGGCTGTTAAGTACAGACTGTACGTGGCCAGCTGTTCTGCTGTCACAGTGAGGCCCTACTAATGTTCTGCAGGCATCCCCATATTATCATTTCTAAGGTTCTCTATTGGGGAAGTTTCTAGAATGTTCGGTGAAGTTTTCAGAGGATTTTGGTAGTTTTTGGAAGGAATGTGCAGCTAGCCAAAACATGCCTGCTAGAAAGCCCTCATGGGCTCTTGAATGAACAGTGGTCGGCTTCACATCCCGTAGCTTGTTGGCAAGGTTCTCTACTCCATGCATGATGGCCAGCCACAGCATGCCTACAACCTGGGGGAAGGCGATCCGGGCGGGGGGTGTAGGATTTGCATTTCAGGGGTCCTGGGTAGTCATTGCTGTTCCTTATTTGTTTGTAGATGATTCAGGACGAATGCAGCTGCAGGAGCCTCAAACAAGTAGGGATTGTTTTTATAGGCAGCCTTGCACGCTAGACCCAGAATTGAGAAACTCTCATGTCCTTGCCTGGCTGGCCCGAGCACTACATCATAATTCCAAGAAGTAGACCCCAATTCTCGTCTTCAAAGCCAGGAAAAGTCAAACCCCAAACCTCAACATCACCCCGCGTGGTGTTTTGAACAGGGTAGTCTCAGATTTGCTTAGTTGCAGTCTCTGATTGTAAAGCGGCCAGCTTAAGCGGTGAGCCTACTCCTGGACCTTGGCTAGCTGCAGTATACCCCAAAGCCCTATTAATTAAGCAAGGCTTTACTACGCCCCTTATTAGGGTCCAGGAGTTATCTCAACCGGGCGAACTATCATGACCTCATCCCAAATTATGGCGTATTTGGAAAGTAGTCCGAACCTAGCTTTAGTTGTGTTGGGTCTGGAATTATCATCGTTCGGCAAGTTTCAGCCAACCCCTTGCCCCAGAGAGTAAACACTCGGTAGGGACCCCTATGCCCGCTGTGATTCTTCTGTGTCTACTTAAGGGGGAGTATAAACCTTACTCCCCAAACCTTCCTTCCCAGGCGATGTTCGACTGCAACTTCGGCTCGTGTCCTTTGCCATCTGAGCCTGTGGCCAAATTGGGCTTCGGATCTAGGGTTATAAGGGTTTAGTGTCTGAGGATATAGGGCGTTCAGGGGGGTCCCCGCCTACACGTCCAGGATACTAAAATCTGCCGGACCCTAAACACTGCATGCGGAATCTATCTAGTGTTTGGGCTCAGCGTGGGGGCTAGGATACAGAGATAGGTTAGAGAGTTTTCGGGTTTAGGGTTTGAGAGGGCTTATTATCAGGGAGAGGCGGGGTGGGAGGGTTTTCTTTCTGGGGCCGGGGACTAGGGTAGGAAGGGTTTAGGGGGTCGGGTGTGCTTCAACTGTGTGGAATGGGGTATTCCGTAGCGGTGGAACCCCTGTGTACAGCTCATTCATTCAGGCGATGGTTTCTTTAGGATGTAACCACGCGCTGATGCAACCGTGACACCAGAATTTGGCCCACAATTTGGCAATTCCAACAGCCATCTCCCAAAGGAGGCATTCCTATCTCCCTTTTAGCACCTCATGCTCCCTAAACCCTAAACCCTAAAGAGCCCAAGTTGAGCCAAGTCTGAACAGTTAAAAGTTAAACCAGAGGCAAAGGGAAGCGGCTAGCTGCTGGCCGGCTGATTGAGCGATTTGGGTCGCTTGGATGGAAAAACAGTTGCGCAGTGGGATCTAGAAATGTTGCCCCGAACACTGAAAACCATGCAGGAGCAATCCTTGTTTCGTTTCCTGGCATCGACCTAAGTGCTGGAAGCATGCACACCAGAATCCTGACCCCTTTACCTCCGGCAGAAGCAATCCTCTACTGCTTGAACCTGTATGCAGCCCTAAGATTGAACAAGAAACCTTCAAATTTCAGATTTAAAGCTCCGGTGGCCCCCCGTAGCCTAAAACACCCAAAATGTTGAACGCCCACAGCTCCCGCGGCCCTGAAATTCAAGACCCCGCATGTCCTGCACGTGACTTTGAACACCCCAGAAATCCTATACTCTTGCCTTTTAAAGTCCATGTCCAACATGATCCCCATGCACACTGCAACAGAACCCTCCAATGTCATGCAAAGCCCATGAGGTATGAATTTCTCAAACTTAGTGTCCGCCTGTATACCACCAAGAACCCCTCTATCTCTGCATGCCTTGTGCCCTAAACCCGAACCTAGACTCAAAGCCCTGAAACATACAGCCCTTATAGGACATGCGGCAAAACTCCTAAACCCTGATCCCCAACACTCCTAAACCGTAACCCTGAGCCCCCTTCAAAGTCCCAAACCCTAAACCCTAAACCCTAAACCTAGTAACTGCGGTCAGGTTGCTGGATTTGGGGCTGGAGGACTTGGAATTGCCCTGCTGGTCCGAAGCCCAAGGGCGCTTTCGGGATGCAGCTTGGCCTTTAGGACGTGGGGAACTGTCAAAATTATGGTCCCTTTTTGGGTCCCTATTGTAATACGGGGCCTAATTTAGGGGACCCAAAAAGGGACCATAATTTTGACAGTTCCCCACGTAGCATTTAGGCCTTGAAGAGGCGTTATACAGGGCGGTATTGTAGGGGATAGTAAGGGGGATGCTTGGAGTTTAGACTAAAGCTCCTTTAGGGTCTAGGTTCGAAAAGATTCGAGGAAGGAGATTTGGAGTTTAGGGTTTGAAGGCCTTTTGTTGGCGTGTTTGGGAATTGGGGGTGTCGGAGGTCTGCGGGCGGGTTTGCGGAGCATGTGCCATCTCATTCTAATTTGCTTGTACTTCCTTCAGGGACTAGCATGTCAGGATTCCCTTTGACTTGGCACTCCGGGCTCTGTTTAAGCAAGCGCCCATGTTCCACATGAATATGCATGTTCCTGAAATGTTTTTCCGGATGCATAGCTGCCACACTAACCAACCGTCTCGCCATCTTGTGTCTCTAATGGTCTCATGTTGCTCAGGGCTATGACGGTTACTACAGGGGCGTAAATAATTACCTGCATCAGTTTGAGATCTACTCGTACATCATACTTACACCGGGAATCTAGGACCATTATATTGGCTATTATTTAGGCCCCTACATGGCAGGGCTGCATGCCTTTTTGCTCCGAGGGGTCCTAAGACGTCTCAGGCACTCCATGAAAGTTTGGGGGAGAAGAAAGGGGATAGAGACCACAACAGGGTTTAGGGTTTGCATTGGTTGCGTTTGGTTTTGGGCGCTTTACGCTCTAAGTTGTTCGGTGAGGAAGCATGCGAAGAAAGCATGATGGCTGACACGGCGGTTCTGTCCCTTACTGCATATGAAAACGGTGCTAATCGATAAGCCTGCGCGCTTGGCGCGTCTCAGCACAGAAAACTACACCCTAAACCCGGGCTTTAACAGCAGCAAAAAAGGAGCGAGGCGTTCGCCGACAGTCAGGGAGAAGCATATCAGGGATCCTATGGCATATTCGGTATATTCCTCCCGTAGGGTTTGTACGCATGGCAATATTTTTTCGGGATGCGCAGTCGAGAAGCTCCCGTAGCTGTAAGTTTGACTTGGGCGTATGATTATGGCCGAAAGTTCCACCTCCTTTTGCTTACGTTCCCTACGCATGTTAAGAAGTGGAGAGAAAAAAGTGGTACCCTTCAACTTACTGGTGGTTAGCAGGGGATATGTGAGTTGAATCCCTTTATAGCATATTCCCTTACTCCCCACTAACCCCCAGTAAACCATTGGAGTTGCCGGTGGGAGCAACAAGCGCACTCTTTGCAAAGCCCAAGGCCCAGGACCGGCAGAACACAAGCGCACAGGGCAACTAAGAATCAGTGATAGCTGTACTTACCACTCAACTATAACTAAATGCTTTCTAATTCCCCGTAATGTGGCTTGATTAGGCCATAAGTACGACAAAGGTTAATGTATAAGTCCCTAGATCCTAAATCCTTCATTATGCTGCACTAAAGTGGGGTATTGTATTATAAGTCCCTAAACCCGAAACCAGTAACGTTGAACCTCCAAGCAAGGTGTGCCAAGCCTGTGTCCGGGAGGCAGAGGAGGCCGAGGAGCAGTCACGGGCAGTAGCAATTCAAGAACAATAGTAAAAGTAAGAGTTGTAATAGTACTAGTGCAATGCTTTTTTAATGTCATAAGAATCTTCAGCATCATAGGGGTCCGCAAACTACCCTCGTTTCATTGTCGGGGCTACAGACAAGACGTGCAGAGGGTATTGGGCTTGGTGAAGAGAATGGTAGTAGGGTCAGAGTCCTGTACCCTAAAACCCGATGGCGCCTAAAGCCTTGCCATACTCTAGCCTTACCCTGAAACCTGGGCAATTTAAAGCGACCTCACCCGACCTCACTCTAAACAGTGGTTTATATAGGGAACAGTACCAAAATTGTCTTAAATTGGGAATTGAAATTATTCTAAATTACTCTGCTCACCCTAGGTGAACTTCCTGACATGACATGTTGAGAGTATGGCAGTGATCCAAACCCCTGCACCCCTTAAGCACCAGTAAGGACATCCCAAAAATCTAAACCCGGAACCCTAACCAACAGCCCAGTATATGTACACTTTAAGCACCATTAAGTTAATGTAGATGCCTGAATAGCTATGAAGACTATATCCCTACACCCAATATATCAACTATATAACCCTCATAAAACCCTACTATTTGGTAGTTTACGTGTCTAATGGGACCCCAACATAGACCCAGAAATAGGATAATCCTCATCATAGGGAACCTTCAGAAAGACCTCGTACGAGCCTGAACCCTAAACAGTATATGAGCTATAATCCAAACTCCTAGTATCTCCCTTTTTACCCCTATAATAGTCTCTAATAGAATCCCCTACATAACCCCCCTTGAAAGAGTTTAGACTACAGCTCATATCATTTCAGCCCTGAGGAGAGGGAGCTTCGAGCTGCCAGTGATCGGAAGATGGCGGCGGCGGCAGAGGAAGATGCATCCTGAATCAGCTGGCTTTAGGGTTTAGGGATCTCTATAACCATAAACATTCCCTAAACCCTGAACCCTAAACCCTGAAGCCTGAAGCTTACAAGAAGGGAATCCGGGGGTCATCTGAGAGAATTGGAACGATACAGAGAAGATTAGCACTGCCCCACCGCAAGGATACAAAGCGAGAGGTGTACCAAGCAAAAAGCCAGCTCCATTTCATCTTACATGGTCTGCTCCATTCTATTCTCCATGAATCGAGGTTTATTGGGATGATGTCCGTTTCATATTCCATGTTCTATTCCATGCTTCTCGGTTATTGGGTTAATATTCCTATCTTCCTCAATCTGTTGAGGCTAGGGAGGGTTTGCCAAGGGTCTTTATGAAAGGTGTCTCGAAGTCGCACTTGGTCCGCAGAGCAGGATTGCTGCGGTGTCAGGGGGGCCTCCTTGTTCCGTACTTAGCTCGCGACTGACTTACACCTAACAATTTTACAGAGAGAGATAGGGCCAGAGAGAGAGTGGACAAAAGGGGCGGCTTAGTGTTGCCCCAGAGCCCGTACGAAAGAAAGAGAGAGAGAGAGAGGGGTCTTCCCCGCTCTGGACTTCCAAGCAATGTGCCGTCGTGCCATTAGAAATTAATGCTTTCGAGGTCAGCGAAGCTTCCTAGGAATCGTCAGTCTGGTTTGACAACATCAGACCCCATCAAACGTTCACTGGAGCAACGCTGCAAGGGACCATGGAGTTAGCTTAACGTATTCTATCCATTTACCGAGCCTATTACAAATTTATTGTAACCCTGTGACGATAGTTATCTAACAGCCCCAAAGCCCCACAAGGCAAGCATAGTCCCCTTGTACCCCTAAATCGTGTATAGGTACTCCCCGCATAACCAAACCCTGTGCGTGTCGGCACTGGAGGCATGCTGCCTGCAGTTGCCTGAAGCCGTGGCAGCAAATGTGTTCCTGGTGTCCACCGAAGCAGAGTTGCAAGAGGCCACGGGGGGTTACAGGATTTGGGGTTTAGGAAAAATTGGGTTACTATGGTCCCCATATAATCTCACCTGAGTCAACCCCCGAAAAGCACCACTCACTTGAAGGTTTCTACAAAGAAGGGACCGCTTTCTCGGAAGTGCTATCCAGCTTTCCCGGACCAAGCGCTGAACCCAAGTTGCGCAAAGTCGGGCCGCGTCCCATGTGCTGATTTTTTTAAGCGATTTCGCTACCAGGTGCTAGGAGGTCTCGGTAGTAGTTCACTGTAGTACTATATTCTACACTATCATAGTACAAGATTACCCATCTTGCCATAATGCCATTCTACGACATTTAGATACCTTGAACAGATCCGGGTTCGCCTCCAATCTGTGGTGGAAAGCGCTCCAGCGGATGGGCCTGACGCGGGGACCTTGCCTCTGGGCTAAAGAGCTTAAGCGCCTGCAGGCTTACGTAGGGTCTGAAGGGTCATACATTTTTAAGTTAACATACTACGGACATATGTAAGTAATAGGGTTTCCTGACTACTTTGATGGTAATTTCATTGAGTTTCGTGATCAGCAACCCAGGCTTGGCAGGCGTGGCGCTGCCATCGGCCTAGACACAGAGTGGAAGCATGGATGGACAGTACTCTTACTGCTGGTTAGCACGGAATGAAGGAGTGGATGCAATCCTTGTAGAAACCCTAAACCCCCAAACCCTAAACCGCGTGGCTCCCAATGTTGCTTGCAATTCCTCCACTGACGCCAACAGGGGAAAGTGCGAAGCTTCAGTTTTGAAGTAGGTTTGAGTTGATAGGGCGGTTGGCGTTTGGTGGGGCTCTGGGGGCTCTTTAGTTTAATAAAACAGCTCAAGCAAAAGAACTGCATAATCTTTTCTTGCCCGGGGGGCTTGAAGCCAAGGAAACCTTTTTTGGAGAAGCGCGGGGGCATGCAGAAGCATCGAAGAAGCAGCCAGTCAGTGGCTTGCTGGGTCATACCGAGTCATACCTGAACGTTTTATCGGCTAAGATTCCTTATCTTTAACATACATCTGAAAGATTGATGCGCCTGCCTGTGATTGCAGAGCTTCTGTCTGTACCCTGGTCTAGCTGAAAAGATTAATCTTAGATTCCTTTGGATGTTCTAGACCTGGAAGGTGGTGTCCATGGAGCCTTGCTCCACTCTCCAAGTGGCCGCGGAAGACTTCGTTGTTGTTTTCGACCTGCTGGCTTTAGCACCAGCAGACGCCAAAGTTTCTACAAGAAGGTTTTGGGTGGTTCCAAAAATGAGGGGGCCCTCTTCGGTAGTCATTGTTGTAAGAAACATAGCAGATTGGGGTCTATATGTGGGCACTCTTGATGGAGTCTCCCGTTTGCCCTACTCAGGCGGTCTGTGGTAAACTAGCTGGGCTCGCAGACTTGAGCTTGCAGAGGGGTTCTTCCAGGAGTTGACTAGCGTGGGTTGCTGTTAACTAAGTTTGGGCTACTTACCCAGACCCCCTAGAGGATCCAAAAAGCAGAACCCCCCCAAAATGATCACAATTACAACATTGGGGAAACTAAGGGAGTCTTGGGGGGGTTCCATTTTTGGATCTTTTAGGGTGTCTGGGTTACATATACCCCATTACAGTAGTTTCCATGTTCTTCTCCATTATCCCTATAATTATCCGAATATATACCCTATAATCCCATATTACCCCAATATATACCCTATGATCCCTATATAAACCCCAATACATACCCTACAAGCCCTAGAAGAGCCACAATATATACCCTTTTATCCTCATATAAACCCTATGCAACCCTGCAGTCTGAGGACCGAGGCACTGCACAGACGTTGTCGGCGATTCTGACTTCACTCTTCAACCACCGTGGGATTGTGAAGCTGGGTTGTTGTTGATGAGTTAAGGCCAAGATTGATTTACCATCATACGGCTATCTAGTGAAGAATAGGGTTTGCTTGTTGTGGTAACTTACTTTAGGAGGTGGCACTTTGGGATGGTCATCTTATCATTCATAAACATGTCTGCGGGCCTCTAAAGTACCACCACTTCTAACAGCAACCCAGGAAGTTGGGCTTCGGGCTGCAAAATGACTTGCAGCGCTTGGCTGCATCGTACCCCCACTTGGACTCCCGGCTAGTTTTGTTTTGAATATGTGTGGGTGTGGGTGTGGCGGTGGGTGCGGCAGCGCCAGTGGCGGTGGTCGCAGGAGTTAGTGGTGGTACTACTAGTAGCAGCAGTAGTTGCAAAGAAAGCGGTAGCAGTGGAATAGAAAGACAAAAGAATGGTAATGGTAATAATGATAGCAGTAATAGTAATTCATAAGTTTTTCCCTTCTGGCGCATGCCAGCGTTGATTTTTATGGCAGGGTGGGTTGGGGGGGGTTGGGGTACACTTAACTGTTTATCTTTGACGGCGGACAAAGCCTCCAGTCCATTATCCCAATATAACCCTCATACAACCCCTATAATATCCCTATATAAACCATAAGCCCCTAAACCTCAAACCCTAAACCCCTAAAGGACCAAGCCCCTGCTGTGGAGGAAGGCCAAAAATCCTGGCTAAGTCAGACCCATGGTTCAGGATAATGGAAAAGAAAATGGAAGCTACCACAGTAAACGGTGGTTATATAGGCAAACTGGTTAAACACACTGGAGACTACTATAGTATATGGGGGTAAATAGGGATAATGGAAGAGAAATGGGAACTACTAGTTAGGGTTCAGGATTTGGCGTTCATGTGTCAGCATTCTTCAATGTGAGGAGGAGCGAGTGAAGGAGAACGTAGGGATCAACTTTGGATATGCCGCCTTGAGTATTTCGTGCCCAGGGAGCTTAAACATCTTAACTACGAAAGTGTCCTTAATCGTGTTAGGCACCGTAGTATCGGGTAAGTCCATTCCTCAATTAAGTAAGGGCTCTCTCTGTACCTTACGCTCAACCTTCTTGCAAATCCTCAGATATTCGTATATAACCATCACATTCCTGAGCAGTCCCCAAACCTCAAACGCTAAAGGGAAGACCTCCGGGTATAAACCCCCATGTACCCCTGCATAAGCCTATATGTTACTTAATCAGGCTATTTTGGACTCCCATGGTAGGCTCCCCCCCTTTTCGTCCTTAAATCCTTATGCGATCCTTGTGGAATTTCAGTTTCCGTACATATTCCGTGTTCTTTTCAAATTGATTCTCGAGGATGATTCCCATGTTCAAGTTCCTTCAACCCTAACCCCTATGTAACCCTCATAACGCCCCTTCACCCTATCCTTAAAGTAACCCCTACAAAGGCTCCATGACCCCTTTCAAGACACCTAATAGAAAGAAGGGAGCCCAATACCCTTTAAAGAAGGAATATACATTAAGTCATGTTTAGGTTCCTAATATCATTTAGGGTATATGCCTTGATCATAGGGTATTGGGGTTTCTGCAAAGCCCAAGAAGTGTGGTGGAGCCATCTTATTAGGACTGCTTCAAGCAGATTTATGGCACGCTGGACTTGCAGGAAGCGTTGATGGAGGCACGCTCCAAAGCCTAAACTTCATAGATCCTCCTCCTAAACCCTAATCCCTCCACACCCCAATTTCTCAAACCCTCAGCTCCCTGGAGGCCCTGACCTCCCTAACCTGGGCAATGTAAAGCGATCTTACCCGACCTCATCCTCAATGGTGGTTTGTTTAGGGGAATGGCACCAACATGGCCTTAGATTGCGAACTAAAATCATTCTAAATTAGCCGTACGCCCTGTAGAAAGCCCTAGACCCTAAGCCCCAAAGCCCCAGACCCTGATCCAAGTAAGACCGTGCCTGCCTCGCTATGCGCGTGTTGAAGCCCCAAACCCCCAACCCTCAATACTAATTAAAGCGGTTTAGGGGTTTAGGATTTAGGGCCTACGAACCCTAATTGCAGGTTTCCCAAGATTAGGGTGTAATTTTTAGGGGGGTCCCAAAAATGCGGATTGCAGTGGGGTCTATATTGGGATCCTTTTTAGACCCTACGTAAGCCCTCAAGGCCTAAACCTTCGTGAAGCCCTAAGCCATCCTTTGATCCCTGTCTTTGCTTGCAGACAGAACACCCTCAACCCCAACAGCCCTAAGAGGAAGAAGCCAACTGCGCCTCAACCCTAGACTTGGTGTCTGGAACATGGCATTTACCAGTTAGGGCTTAATGTAAAGACCACACGTATTGTATGGGGTACCTCAGTCAAACCTTAAACCCTACATAGACCTCAAACTCATGCTGGTAATTATGTGAGCTATAGTCTAAACTCCTAGTATCCCCCTTAATAACCCCTATAGTAGTCCCATATATAATCCCCCCTTTAAGGAGTTTAGATTATAGCTCGTTTGGGGTTCTACATTAATGTGGTACCAGTTGGTCCTTGGCCCGCAAGAAAGGTTTTTTGGTTTTAGGTCTAGGGCTTAGGTTAGAACATCTTTTGTAACATTCAGTGTCCTTAATCCCTATACAACCCCCAAAATGCCATTTCAGAAATGAAGTTAATGGGGGCCCCCTAAACCCTACATGAACCCTACACTAGCTCTGGGCCCTGAACCCTAACCCTGAACCCTGAGCCCACACCCCCAACCTTAAACCCTGGACCCAAGTCCAAACCTTAAACCCTAAACCCTAAACGTTAGACCCAGACCGCAAACCCAAACCCTGAACCCAATCCTAAACTCTAAATAGCGGCTTCCATTTTCTTTTCCGTTATCCCTATATAAGCCTAAACCCAAAACGGAGGCCCGTCGTAACAAGGGGCAGACAACCGGCCTGTCTTCTTTGCCTCTAGGCTTCAAGGTTTGGGGTTTAGGCTTCAGGGTATATTGGGGTACTATTGGGATAATGGAAAACAAAATGGTAACTACAATGGGGTTATTTAGAGTTTAGGGTTTAGGCTTCAGGGTTTTGAGTTCTGGGCTTAGGATTTACGGTCAGCTAGCGCTGGAAGCTAGCAAGACCCCTTTGATCACTATTTGTATTTTTGGCATCACCACACCCTCCCAGAATCCTTTTGCATTTAACCTTTCTATCCGTTTTCTTCCTTCGCTCGCCACTTGCCCCTGCCCCCTATATCCCACAATCATTTTTGTTCTTGTAGTGAATGCCCGTTTCGGGGCTTCCAGAAACCTCCCAGCAGCCTTCAGGCCCGTCATTAGTTTCCTCTCATTTTTTCAGCGTTCCTGAATTCAATGGGCCCTCCGCAGACAGGCCTCCAGGGCATTTGCAACATGCAAGCCCCAAATGCCACGAAAGTAAACAATCAGCACCCAAGTTAGGCGCAGAAGTGGGTGTCCAGGGTGAGCAAGTTCGGGATTTGGCAGCCAAGGCCCTCCAGCGAAAGCTCATTGTCGTGGTGGTGGTTGTTGTTGTTTTTGACGACATGATGTCAGAAAGGATGAAAGACCCTGTTGTAGCGATGTTATGGACAACGTACATCCGTTTAAGCGGGGAAACTTTGTCGAGCCACGCGCAGGAATCACAGAAGTTCTGCTCAATGTTGAGCTTTCGTCCATTTGAAAGTGTTCATCTGGTTTGCGGGAGTGGGCCTTTGAATCATGCTACAAACACATTGACACAGAGATTGGGGCAAGCAGACAACCTGTCTCGACCGTCAGCGACGGAAAGGATTGAGCTCAGGTGCTTGGAGTTTCTTGGGTCTCCGCTAAGCAAGCGACTGCAAACCAGCGACTGGGGCGCCCGGCCGCTTCGCCCGGAACAGCTCTCCTATGCGGCCCTTGACGTATCTGACTTGAATTTGAGGTATGGGGCTGAAGGTTTTTGAGGGGTATAGGGCCCTTGAACCGTTCCACGACACCCTACGACCCTTAGGACCCTCAACGAAAATCAGCAGTTTTTGCTTTGGTTGCTAGTGCGTTTGCTTCCCTCGTGCAGTTCTCAATATTTGGGGTCGAAACAGCCTGTACCCTAATTCCAGTCGCCATCAAGCAGCCGACCCACCCTGAAGACCAAGGCACATTGCCTGCTGACCTTAGCAAGGACCGGATTCATTGGAATTCCTTCGAGTGAACGATAAGATGTGGCAGTAGCCGCAACAAGCGTGCTCTCTGAAATTCCTTCATTCTCCTTCAAACTTGCCCAGTTTTTTGGGCTTCTTGAAGATGTTGCCAACAGTGAAATATGTGAGAAGCTTATGAATCATGGCCTCAACACTCCAACATGTTCAACCCTGTGAATTTGATGTTGGTGGCCAAGAAATTTCATGAATCCTGAAACAGTGAATGCGCGACATCCACACTCTCACTGAGAGGACACTGCACAGCCACGACAGGGAGCCTGCAATAAAGGCTGCCATGCGGCTACAGGACCTTGAAGCTCTGTGTCTCCATGGTTTATACACGCGAAGGATGGAAGGGTGATATGGGTGAAAGGACGAAAGTAGCAGAACATTTTTTACGACTTGGCGCTGATGTTGCGGGTGCTGGTGAGTGGAGCAGGTTATTATTCGCAAACCATTGCCATCCTTAAGCTTTGATCGAGCCTCGGTTTTGTGGCGGCTACATGCACCGCAAAGACAAGAGACTACTATGGGCCTTGAGCTTTTTAAGCTGTCAGAGTGGGCCCCACCTGCAGAGGGAGACTTTTTTCGAACGCATCAGGATCCTAGACCTGAGCCCTCACGGCAAGTTATCCTGGAGTAGGAGCAACTTTTCCCATGTGATAAGGCCAAGGCTGTCTTCACAGGAAGCTTATTCTTAAAAAGCAGCAGCTGAGAGTGCATGACAGCACCAAGCCTCCTGTCCTAACGCGGAAGCTGTTATACGTTGAACCGTTGAGCACCTGAGCTTTTAAACAAAGGACCCTAGAGCACACGTTTCCGGCAAATTTCTTGGCGTGACACGCTGCAGCAATTGCAACACGCCGCAGCAACTACAAGGTTCCCTTCGTGGGGCCTTGCTTACGAAAAATGATGCAAGCAGAAGACCCGAGGGCGCTTTCTTAGCAACCCCAATTCCTGAAAAGTGGCCCGAAACACTACCGCCTCAGACCGCTACGTATCCCTATATCCTCCCTTAAAACCAATACATCATAATTTCCAGTCGCCAACTTTTACCCTTTCTGGGTAACATGAAATTCCACGCCAACCAAAAGGTCAATTTGGACCCCTATGACCCTCTCATATTTTTTTGAGAAACTATAGAAATTCAGTTTCCATTCAACTGTCTATGAGGGTTCCATTTGGGTCTCCGTTCTTCCAATCATGTAAACCGGTAAACCCCAGACATCCCTGTAGCTTTTTCAATGGACCCCATCACTATACATCCTCTAGTAGAACTCCTTGAACCCTAAAACCCTAAACCCTCATTCCTGAAACCCTACAGTGACCCTTATACCCTAAACCTTAAACACCAGTATAACGCCACAGTGCCAAAGGACCTGAAGGTTCACTCGGTGGCCCAGAAGATGGTCGTCTCCGTAGCAGGCGTTGCATTGCCAGCTGCGACGGTGGACGCAGAAGCCGTTGCCAAGGCTGGGGCAGTCGTTCAGGGTTGTAGGATTAAGGGTTTAGTGGGTCCAGGTTTAGGGATTAGGGGTTTACGTGCTAGGGGTTCAGGGTTTAGAGGTCTTTCTGGCTGAGTGCAAGCTCCGATGCAAAAAGGGGTTTTGGGTTTAGGGGTTTAGAGTTCCGAGTTTAGGGGTTTAGGATTTACTGGGTCACTGTTGGATATACTGTAAAAGTTCGATTATGCTAAGAGCCCCATAAGGAATAAGTACAACATTGAGATCATCAGGGAAGTAGTTAAGGTTCAGAAGGGGATCGCAGAGCTTGAGTTGCCCCCCCACCCGGTAATTAGAAAATGAGTATGTATAATATAGTTTGGATCTATGAAGCCCTTCATATGTCCGCTTGGTTAGTTCTTTTGGCAGTTGTTGGGGCTTGGGATTTAGGATTTTGGGCTTGGTGTCTAGAGCATGCCGTGCTGATCTGTGTGCGCCGCGTTGCCGCATGCTGCAAGCCTTCCATGCTGCAAGCAGCCTGCAGAGGAATGCGCAGCATCATTGTCGACGAAGGGGCATGGAAAGATGCGACCGTCTTCGCTCAGCTTGCGACGATGTCTTCACCCGGCAACTTCTTTCAGCTAAACGCCTCTGCACAAGGGTGCGCATTCCATTGTGCGAGATGCAAAGTGTTGATAATGCTGCTCCCAACTTGTTCGTCCAGTGGCCTGGCCGGACTTGGAGTTGCTGCCCTCCTACGGCAGCCATGCGCCAGTCAGCAACTCTTTACCTACTGCGTTTCGCCGACAAGGTGGCCCAGCTCGTCCTGGGCTTGCAATCCAAGCCAAGCCCAGGCTCCATGCAGCAGCAAGCCCACAAGCCCACAACATCGTCATGGGATGGGACGATTGGCTCAATGCCAGCTGTTCGCCTTTCCTGTGCCACTGCAGATGACTCCTTCCCTTGTGGTGATTCCGAGATGCTCAGGAAACGTTTGCAGTCTAGCCACATGCCATGCTCCTGCCGGGACATGGTTCTGCGGCTTTCCGAGCACGCGGCTTTGTGTAGGCTGCGCGCCTGAATATCTCTGGCAGGCTCAGCTTGGGGGCAGCGACTGTCAGAAAGATATGTTCACACTGACCTGCGAACTGAAGCGCAGCAGTGCGCTGTAGATGCGGCCGCACTGACTGGTAGCCGGAAATTCTTGTCGTGCTGAGCCTGGAGCCATCAGCCCGTGCACATGCAATCTTGTTGGAATGTTGTTGCCGCGCCTGCGGTTCTCGCGCATTGCAAGGACGCACCCACACAAGCTGGATAATGTTGCACGCTTATGACCCGTGTGCGCTTTTCGGGGTTGAGTCATTGAGGTTTTCCAAAGGCCGGTGGGCCTCTTTTCGGGGTCCTAGAAAAAGTGGGGGGCCCCAGTTTTGGGAAATGCAAAGGGAGGTCCCTATAATGATGAGAACTATAGTGACAATGTAGTGGCTGATAGGGATTCTGTTGCCGAAAGTTAGGGGCCCCTCTTTGAGGGCTGACTCCCTGGCGCCAGGCCAGCCAGGACATCGCCCTGAAAGGATCGGAGATACGTGCGATGAAGGCAGCAGGCCGGACCCCAGGATTTAATGATAATATGAGCTATAGGCTAAACTCCTTAAAGGGGGATTATATATATATATGATTATATAGGGGACTACTATAGGGTTTATTAAGGGGAATACTAGGAGTTTAGACTATAGCTCATATAAAAAATCATTATCATTGTCATCATCACCATACTACCATAACAAGGAACAAAGTCACAAGAATAAAGTTGATCAAGAAGCAGTGACCATGGTAATAATGATAGTAGCAGTAGTGACCATGGTAGTAACGATGTTAATAGCAGTTAGCATAGTAACAGTACTAATAACAATCATGATGCTACCAATTTACTCACCGTCCGCAATCTACACCTCCAATAAAGCGTATTTAGAGCTTATGTAGGCCTTCTTTCCGGGTGAGGGGTAAGGCAGGGTGCGATATAAGGTCCTATGAGAATGAGTTGCTGTTGAGGACCTTCAAATAAGTTACATATCCTCATAAGAGAACCATAGGGTTTACCCTATACCGTCTATACCCTTATTGTGTCAACTCATTCTAAGCTCCTTAACAGCAACCCAGCCTATGGTTAAGGTCTCTACCTCCAAAATTGGGCCTAGGGCTTCTTTAGACAAATTCCATGGCCTCCCTGTGAACAAAGCCAGTTCGGGTTTAGGGCTTCAGGGCAGATATTCGGATCTAAGGAGCCCAATACCTTTAGCTTCACAGATATACCCTAAATCATGTTTGGGGTCCTAGTACCGTTTAAGGTGTATTGCTGAATGAAGGGGTAGTGGCTCTCTGGAGATCTAGATTGCATGCAGTTCCTGGAGCTTCCTTGCTTGTCCTCAGGCCTTGGCATTGGCAATTGCCTGCTACGTCATGCCTTGGGCCTCAAGAAATCTAGGGTTTAGGGTCTAGGGCTTCGGATCTACTATTATCCTCTCCCCCTATGTACTAACATGATGTTCCCAATGTTGTATACGATGATTATAATGTATTGGGAACATTTGTTATTAGGGAGGGTGGGGTCTGTAATGTACTTGTCATAATGTTACCCCGAGCCCTCTTATAGTTGATTCCTCGCGAACATTACTTGCAGTAATTACAATAGACATAGTTAGGACACTAATACTACCCTCAACCCTAAACCCTAACCCCTCTGGTAGTTTACACAGTGCTTCCCGGCCAGGCAAAGCCAAGTCCGCATGGCAAGCCGAGGTGGCTGTGTTGCTGCAACTGAGCCTCGGCTTCCCAAGCGCCCCTGAACTAGACAGAATATAGGGTTTGGGGTTTAGGGTTTTCTAGGGTCTCTGGGTTTTAGGGTTTAGGGTTTGGGATCCAAAAAAGAACCCCCCCCTCCCAAGATGAACCCATTACTACATTGGGGAAAGTATGGGATTATTGGGGGGCTCCAAGTTTTTGGATCCTTTAGGAGGTCTGGCTTAGGGCTTTAGGTTTAGGGCTGAGGGTTTTGGTTATTGGAGCAATTTGTGGTTTCGCAGAATTGTGGGAGGGGGTTGTGCTTATTGGAGTACGCAAATCCCTGGAGGAGATCGATGTAGGACTACGTCAGGATACCTATTGGTGCACGGATGCTTTCCTCTAATTTGGCGTCCGCTTTTGGGAGGTCCCCATAGGAAGGTTGGCAGTGTTTTGGGATATGCAAGCGGGACCCCATATGTGGGAACCACCATTTGTGGGTTCGCACTTTCCTGCATATGGTGAAGGGCTGTTGTTTTTCAAGGGACGGGCAGTTGGAGATGTGAAATATTTTGATCGCAAAATATTGCTGCGAGCACTGGCGAGGTGTCGGGCCGGTGTTTGTGGTTCTGATGCTTCACATGACTGACATCAATGTTGGTGTCTCTTGTGAAAAGTGGCAGGAACCATCGGGCTCAGGTTTGTCAGGGGTCAGGACCCCTTGTGACTGTATCCTTCGCGCTCATGGGTGGTCTTAGGCATTCTCCAGTTCCCTAATCATGAACAGGGCTTTTGCAGGGAGGACCTTGGAGCTTAGTCTAGGGCCGGTGGTGGGGGGCTACCAGTCATCTTCGCATGTCAGAAGTGGGAACAGGCACGGGATGTGAATCGTCGAGGTCACAATCCTTGCTGGTGTTGCCATGTTCTCTCCATTATCCCTGAATAACCCCTATATAATCCCTATAATATATATATATATAATTATATATAACAGTTTCCATGTTCTTTTCCATTATCTCTATGTGTTGTTGCTTTGGCCTTTTCCGGACCTTCCACGCAGCACTTACCCAAAACTACAGAGCCAACACATTGCCTTGTTCCTACTTCTCCCCACAGCTCGCCACTACCCCTGCCCTTGCCTTTACCTTGGCTCTAACCCTCAAAACCTTCAGAGTCTAAGCTTAGAACGAGGAAAGCGCGATTCCGGGAGCTAGCATCTTGGAAGTTAATGCTGGGTGCGACTGTCAAGTTCGGGGTTTAGAACATATGAGCTATAGTCTAAACTCCTTAAAAGGGATTATCTAGGGACTATATATGGGGGTACTATGGGGGTTATTAAGGGATACTAGGAGTTTAGATTATGGCTCATATGCACGAAGATCTCCGCTTTCCGGGTTTGGGGTAGAGAGATCCTGAGGGTCGGAGATGGAGTCTTCCCCTTGATTGCACTGCGTGTTTGTGGACGGTCCTCATATGTCGTCATGAGGGCTACCGAGCCATGAGGGATGTTGCAGCTCCTCTGTAGAAAACCACTAGGCACTGTGGATGCAATCTTCGTGCTGCCTAAGATTATGGGGCTTAGGGCTTGGGGGCCTAAACTTTGATCAATGATGCAGAAACACATGAAAATTAAATTCGAAAACAGCACGGAAGCTGTTTTCGGTCTGATTCTGGTGAGTGTGTTGTTGTATTTTTTCTGGTGTCCTTATGGAGGATCCATACATGGACATCTTACCTTGTCAAGAGAGAGTGCGCAGCGAATGCTCAAGTAGATCGCCATGGACCCCCCAATCAGGCCCTTTCCCGCGTACGTTTACAATTGCCTTGGAAGGGTCCTTCATTTTAGGATTGCCCTAAACGGTAGTTTGCCTAAATAGGGGGACCCCAAAAAGACCCCAAATTACTACAATCCTTCTGAGGGGGCTCTCGAAAAGTTACCCCTAATTTTGGGAAACCCCCTAATCACCCTAAATGCCCGTAGCCGAAGGCTGGTGTCGACTGGGTACCCCCTGTATCGCCTGCTGTCAGCTGAACGACTGCAAATCATTGTGGACCCCTCGGCTGAGAGAATTCTTGCCTTGCTCTTGTTTCTGGTAGGGCTTTAGGGTTTATGGTTCAGGGAATGTGGAGGCCAAGAAAATTTGGGATCGCAGCGGGGGTTCTATGCGGATCCATTCTTATTTTCTGTTTAAAATTCCGTGCTAACAACCAGTAGGTGAAATGTGGACAGGGGCGTGTCCTTTCTCTTAGTAGTCTCATTTTGGGGGGTCCTCCTGGCTGCAGGAAAGCAAAATTCAAAAATTAGCGGATTTACCTGCCATAGCTTTGGCGTGGCCCAGAGGGTTTTGCTACATTCCCTACTGACAAGTTTGCCAGCAAGCATCTACCTGATGCCTTACCGGTCTCCGACATCCAAAGCCGAAAGACCTGAAGCCGACAGGGCGGTCAGATTTGCCTTGCTTTCTGATGCCGCGTGTCAGGTACGGGCTTTACCAAAGTCCACAAAGCGCAGATGTCGACCCAAAATCACGGTTCCATTTCTCGAAGTAGCCGCTGCCAGAGATGGCGTGGATCCTTACTCGACGTTCTAGAACTTATTCAAGAATACCAGTTGAAGCTTACGAAGTCTTGAATTAGGGCTGCGACACTTGATCATAGCAGTGGCCCCGACGACGCGTTGAGAAGCCTTTGAGCTTTCTGAAGCCAAGGATGGAGTTCTGTCGGATTCGCTGACGCAAGAATGCAAGGCCCTTCAAGTCGGTTTCCTGGCAGTTTAGGGTTTACCTGTGACACTTAATACCCACAGTTTAGTAAGCACCCTTAATTCGTAGGTATAACTGTATAGCCCATAAAAATGTAGATAATTAATCCGAGCACTAGAACAATTTGGGGGGGACCCCCCCCGCCAGAATAAGGAATGCAGCGCGCCAGAATAAAAGGATGATTGGGGCTCCTGGATTGGCGCCCCAGAAAATTTCTTTGAATATGGTCCCTTTTCCCATGCGAAAAGCCACCTAATTGCAGCTAGTCTCTGGAGCCTAATTTTGCCAAAATAATGTTCTTTAAATATGGTCCCTTTTATTGTTCTAGTGCTCGGATGAGGGCTAGTGCTGAAGATTTTGCATCACTACCCGTAGCCTGTGGAGATCCTTTTGATTGCTTTTTGGCTTCAGGAGTATGTGGCTCAGCGTACAGGGTTTAGGGTTTAGGGGTCTGTGAGCTGTTCCGCACTCAGTTTAGGCTCCACCTACGGCGGTGGACGAGGAGAACTGGGCCAAGGGCAATTACGAATGTACCCTTCACTAAACATAAAGACCCCATAAAAGCCCCTCAGTAGTCTACATTGGGCCCTTGTGCGGGTGGTGGAAGGTTTTCAAGTTTGAGAATTTGTCAGCATGACAACATGAGCCGGCACAATGACCCCAATGAAACAACGTAAACGCCACGTTTGGCGCAGTAGTTAGTACTACTCGATTGATGTCGCTGCTAATTTCGGTTCAGGGTAATGGCGCTGACGATCCAGATAGCCCAAGGCAGGTACCGGTTCAAAGCTGTACAGCCCAGAGGAGGTATCATTTCTAGACATATAAATCCCGCGGGTAGAGTTTTTTTTGGCTCTGAACTGAAAAGCCTAAAGCTGGAACAATGGCTGACAAGTTTATATCCATATATTACCCTTTTATCGCCCTTGAACGCAAAGGTCTCAGAAGGTGGGATGAAGGAAGCTTGGGTACAGGAAATACGCCCCCGATATAATAGGTATACTAAGGTGCCTTTAACCCACCTACTTCCATCCCACCTTTTGAGCCCCCTGATAAACATAGGCCTAAGCGTGGAACACTAGCCTAGCTCAGGTCTCAGACTACTCATGCTGGACTTTGGGTCTTGGAGCTTGCCTCCCGAGACCCCCACCCCGCCAAACAACAAACATTCCCAATTTATACAATGACGCGTACGCACCCCCCAAACAGTTTGGCTCAAGGGGTGAAGTGCAGAAGGGTGTATGCTTGATAAGAAAATATCGGCTTGGTGCAGGACCTCACGAGGAAAGCTTGGCAAGATCTCCAAGCGGCGACTGAGACCGGGCCTTGATCCATATCCCTCTTCTCAGACATAACATGCAATGACGATGCATAAGAAAGGCTACTGGCAAACTACTATGGTGGAGAGGGCCCCGCGGTGCCGAGCATCACTCAGCCATGCGCAGTGATTGGGCGAGGAAAAGGAAGGCAGGAACGGGATTCAAGGCTTTGGTGTCAAATCAGCATCTGATTTGGTTTGTCTACGGGGCTTTTGAAGGCCCCTGAAAAGGAATTGAGGACGGGTGTTCTCACGGCGTAATAACGAACAATATAGCCTGAGGCTGAATAGGGCGTTGCAAATGAAATCTATTCTGAACGAAGATGATTTCCTCAAGCAGGATCTGTGGGTCGGTTCAGCACAGCAGCGTTTAACACAGGAGTTCACCCTGTATGATTTCCCAATGAATGTTGAGCGAGATGTAGCTTGTTCTTATCTGATTCCATCTCTACTGCAGAAAGGTCTGGGTATACCTGTGCCAGAATGATGGTCTCGTTCTACGGTAGTTTGATAGGTACAGGGAGTCTCTAGCTTTGGCAAAAACCGTGTGGAAAATCGCAGTCTGTCATATCACAAGTTCGTTCATGGTAAGTTCTTGTTGTTTTAGCTGGGGACGCGCAAGAAAGCCTTTGGCGCCCCATGCGTGTCAACACCTTAGGCTGAACCCTTTAGACAAGTCAAGTTCGATTCAGATCGCCTCGTTCCGCAGCAGCCATTTGATGGCCTGTGCTTGGTCAATGTAGCAGTCTCGTGACAGTACCCAGCTGTACAGGTTGGAATGGAGGCTACGCGACACAGACAGATACAGCCAGCATCGCATGTTGGATTTGCAACTTACCCAAGTTTTCTGGATGGTATCCGAAGAGGCCTGGAAATAGATGTAGATGATTTGCCCCAAGCTTTCTACGATTCTCGGCACATGCAGCTGCCCAGTCATTTCCTGCAGTGGATGCTGCCGCGTTCGGCGCCATCGCTCCTGCAGCACCGCAATCCATGCCACAGTCCCCCTGAGCAGCTGGGTCTTCATGGAAGAATTTGGTTTTGGGACTGAAATACTGCAACTGTGCGTGCGGACCGGAATATTGGACTTTCATTGGCAAAAGGTCCCACGCCATAGAATGGAGTATGTCATTTCTACTGTTCACAATTGGCCCGAAGTCTCATGAAGGTTACCCAGGTCGCTGTCATGTTCTTTTCCTGTTTGGCCAGCTCCCCGAGCGTAGTACAGACATTAGTGCGGGCAACCTCTACCAAGCCAATATCAGAGGTACTTACACTGAAACGGAGTCTGACTATTGTATTTCACTGACATGCAGTGGGAAGCATCGCCTACGATAAGCACTACGGTCCTTCAGACTAATCCTGAGGACGCAGGGTATGTATGTGTATATACGTCTATGTCCATAGCAAGCCTTGAGCCCTATCATGCTCTGTGTGTGTCTCCCTCAACAAACCGCGCACAAGGCGCATGATACTGCTTACATATTTAGCCCATGCCCGCAATCCGTTTGACAGTTGAATTTTCAGTTGCCAGCTGTCAGCTGCATGATTCCCCTGATTTCCTTCCAGCAGTTACACTCCCTCCGGTGACCTAGACCCGCCTATAACTTAGGAAGTCGGCACCCAGCGCTTCAAAGAACATACACGCCATGTCAAGCGGCCCCAATGCAGGCGGTCCCGGAATACGCCTGGGGTTATACAGTGTCATATACCATTATGCAAGACTAGGTAACTGGGTGGGGAGACTTTACACATGTTTGGTCCTAGCATCCCATCATAATCCTATCATAATGAGACGGTGTAGACTTGTTAGGCCCAAGGAATTCAGCAACCCGGGAAACGGCGTTCTTCACAGCAACAGCCATTTCTGGCGCGGCAGCCTTTGAGATGCAATTGCCGGACTTTGTTTGCATTCTTCAGTTCCAGGTTTCGGCTGCAGGGCTTGGGGTGTCGCAGGGTATGTCCACTTGCCTCTGTGGCATCAATACATGCTGGTGCATGCGACGTGCTGGAACGAAGCCCTTCCGCGAGTAATTATTCATGCCAGTATAGAGTCTTTCAAGATCTGCTCAATACAGAAGTCCTGCACACACCCTGCAAAATACCTAGACCTACATTTGCAACCACCGCAATCCCGAAGCCTTAAACCTCTGATCCTTTTTTGTTAGCGCCCTCTGGAGGGCTCTTGGTGGCCCTGTCGCTGCCCTTGGGCTGGTGCCTGGCTGCTCAAAGAAGGCGCAGCCCCACGATCCCAGTCTGCCGGACACTGCAGCCGCAAGTGTTCATGGGGGACACAGGTTTGGATGGTCCATAAACCTGAACCTGCTTACTAAGTCTGCCTCTATGTTGCTGTGAGGTAAGGTTCCTCTTAAACTTGGCCAGACGGGGTTCCCTTTAAGTGGGCGGAGGGAAGTGGTAACAGTCGCTGCAGCAGTGGGTCTGAGGCTTCGAGCCATGATGGCAGTGGCAACCCGAATTTACTTGCGCATGCACCCTGCGTCGGTAGGCAGGTCAGGTTGCAAAAGTGCCCTCAACTCTTAAGGTTAAGCTTCTTCCATAAATCCGGTTGCGTTCACCGTTTACACATCTGCTAGAAAGACCCCAAGAAAAGGACTCAGACGATGCCATGTGATTCTATTCCTGAGGACTGCAGCAGGTGCTTCAAAGAAGTCGTCTGACTCAATCCAAGCTACTGGGCTGCTGTTGAGGAACTTGAGTGTTAGGTACGGTGCTGTTGTTGTTTTTGGGTGAAGTCCTGCATGACCTTCGGCAGCAGACGCTAGGACAAGTCCCAAGAGTTAGGTATATCAAGTCGTTAAGAACCCTGTCCATCAACGCGTAGAGGTGTGGTGAAAATATGTTTACCTGGTGATAACCAAGTTTGTGCTCCTTCAGAGCAGCCCAGAACCCTAAACCCTAAAGCCCTTGTAGTAGCCCTTTAGAATTCCCCATCTAAGAGATAGTTTCCGTATTCTTGTCTCTCCCCTTAACCGTAAACCCTAAATAGTAGTATCCTTCCCAATATTGCTTTCCATTTGATACTCCGTTCTGGTATCCTGAAAAGCCTCAGTTGACCAAATTTGAAGTTCCTCAAGAGCAACCCAGGAACCCTAAAGTCCCTGTACTTGGAGGTCTGGCAGGCCTAAAAGGATTCAAATTAGGGAGCTCTGGGACCTCATAGCAATATAGGGTTAACAAGCGGATGAGGGGGATCCCTAAACCCTAAGCCCTACGGTTTTCAAGTTCCTTAACAGCAGCCCAGGCTAGATTGGTGAGTGGGCTTCGCAGCCACTGGGCCCCAACTTTTCCAGATGCTTAAGGGAGGGTGGTTCAAAGTGGGGTAGATACCTAGCAATGCCCAAAATTCTCTCATCCTCCCTAATGCTCACCAAGGCCCCCTGAGGATTAACGCCTAAGCCCCGAAACATCCTTCTAAGCCCCTAAGCCCTAGGTTTACGCAAGGGCATCCCGAAAAAGGGGAGACAGGCAGGGATTTCATAGAGGTTATAGTATTATGTAGTGTCAAGGGGTTTAGGGGTCAGGGATTTTGCACTCCATAGGAGCTCTAGGGTTTAGGGATATTACCCCAATAACAGAGAATAGCATGGCAAAGACAATCAAAAATGAGATGGCACCTGGGTTATGTAGGGGTTAGTTGCACTCTAGAACTCTAATCCCCCTAAACCCTAAAATCTAAACCCATAACCCTACAATATTCAAAAACTTTGCAATGGGACGTGGCAATTGTGACTTGCAAGTGTGAGGACGGCGGATCTGGACCGAAGTCCGTCAACATTGCTGTCTGATCAGCACACTTTCTAAACGGGTCTAGGCTTAGGGTAAACAGCATACTTTCTAAACGGAATCAGGGCTTAGGGTCAGGGTTTAGGGTTTAGGGTTTTATGTAAGCCCTGAGCCCAATAAAATTCAGACCCACATGCTTCAGACAGACGACTCCCTTCCTAATCTGGCTACCCGGGCTTCAGAGTCTTTGAATAGCCCTTTTTGTCATGGCTCCAATCCTCCAAAAGCGTTCTAGAAACATCCACATCCTTGCAAAAAGGACGCCAAGACGCGACCCTAGGTTTTTCGAACGCGGCATGACACGGTAAACTCTGAACCCCTAATCTCCTAAACCCCAAACCTGACACCACTGATTCCAAAACTCCTCAAGCCCAACCTCTGAAGGAACATGCTAATGGCCACAGAGGGAATGCATGCGGAATCGTGTGATGCAGACCTTCCTAGATTTGGATTGCCTGAACATACCTTCGTGAGATCCATCTGGCATGTTGGCTGTAAGCTGTTCGGTTATAGTTACTTGGCATGTTGACTGCTTGTTCCCACCCAGGCTGCATGAACGTGGCCAGGGAACTCAGTGAACCCTGGGTGTTTACGGTCCTCACGTGTTTTAGGTATGTATGAGAACTCATGTTTTGCAGATCCGAGTATGCTTGTTTGGTTGTTTGAGGACGCCTTGTATACGGGGTCAAGTCATCGGCCTCACGCGCTCCGGCTTTTCTTGAAACTTCCTGAATGCCTTGTGGACACCATGAGACTACCCTGCAAGTGGAACCTCCAGGTGAGAGGAGAATACTTCTGAACCCCTTCTAATCCCTAAACTCAAATACTGTATGCCTTACATGTTTCTATATACATACACATACATCCCTCATAGCCCTGTTGGTATATCCTTGTACATACATGTACATTGACATGTATCCGTTTTTGCCCTGAACTTAGATCTTTGGAGCAAAGATCCCTAAACCTGGAAACCCTAAACCCCAAACCGTAAACCCTAAACCAAAGGCAAAGAGGCGCCAGACTCCGTGGCTGAGTTTCAAGCGCTTCGCGACGACCCACTGGCTTCGTGGTGCTGCCTGACTACCAGGGTTTAGGGCTTGGGGGGGCGTTCGCAAATCGAGTTAGGGGTTTCCTCAAGTTAGCTAGGGGCACCTTTTTTAGCGATCCCTATAGCAACTAGTTTCCGGAAATTAGGGGGTCCTTTATCCTTGGGTCCTTGTATTAAAAAAAAAGAAGTAAAATGGGCTTTTATACAGGTCCTTCATTTGGGGAACTACCACATCATCTTTTTTTGCAGAAGCCCAAGGCTTCCTCAGCGAGGAAGACTCTGCGCAGCAAGCTGCGATAGTTTTCGCTGTGGCATATTTGCCAAGTTTGCTGCTTGTGTCGAAGCTCTTCCCTTTTGCAGCTGGGAAGGATGAAGAGTTAAAGTTTTTGAAAAACTTGTCCCTGACTTATTGGCAGCCATGTGTGCCTGCACACCTAGGCCTAGACCTCAAGCCTTGAAACCTGAAAGCACAGGCCTTTGAGTCTATTGCTTTTGCGTACGAAGTATGAACCGCAATTCAGGCAAATGAGTCGGGAGAGGCTTTGTCCGCAAATATTCTATCCGACGTGTTTTTTTCCTTCGCCCTGGCATGCTGCTTGGTGGTCATGCTCTTTCTTCGAATCAGTTACAAACAGGCTCCGGGGTTCGTTTTTAGCAATACGTACAGGCAATATACCCGGCTTGGAATCTGTGGCAAAGCATCCCTGAGAAACATAGTCTCTGCATATTTTCTCCCCCAAGACCCCAAAACCCACAACTCTATGACTCATCGCGCTGTTCTCTCATATGTATACAGCTCCTTGATGGTCCTCACAACTTCTCTGCGATCTCCCTACAATTTTACGATGGACAAGCTCCAAACTCCCACACCAATCTCACAACCCATAACCGTTGAAGCCCTAAGTCATTCCCCTTAAGCCCTCAGCCTTTGAAACCCCTGCAGGTGAAAGTCAATCAGCTTCTGCGGGAACGCTCCCTCTACTTCGAGATCGGGGGTGGTGGCTACTTCTTCAAAAAGAAGAGAAGCTTGGGATGTCAGGAGTATTTTTGCATAACAGGGCTGAATGGTTCTGATTTGTGCTAGAAACTTGATAGCACAAATGTGGGACACAACTTAGGTGGAAGTTAGAGCTTGCAGGGGGTTCGAAGGTCCTACAGAAGTTAAAAGTTGATGTACGTCCAGAGGAGACTTGTTCTTTGGCTGGGAAGGTGTTGGGGTCTTGGGCTTTTATCTAGAAATTTTGAGGGGATCCTTCTCATCGGCATTAGTCAAGTGGGCATTAGTTTGGACATCTTGACATTGCTCATGCCAACATAACTCATAAAACCTCAAAGAAAACGGCTCCTGACAGATGTTGAGGGTTGGCTGCAAGATTTTTTGGGGTTGGGATGCAAAAGCTCCGGGATTCGGGGAATTCACGCCCAAATGTACTGAACCTTGTCTTGGGATGTGTCGAGGGGTTCATGTTGTGATACGGTGCAGGATTCGTGTTTTTTTGCTTGTCCAGGCGCTGTAGGGTAATCTACTCCCCCCCTTGACCAACTGCAGCTATTCGAGCTCCCTCATGACCTTCTATGTTCTGGTTCTGATTTCTTTTTCTCTTTCAGGCTCAAGATATAAAATTCTATGCTTTCAGGTTGCGGTGGTTTCAGCTTGAAACCCTGATGCTGGAACCCTAGACCCTGAACCCTGACTCCAAGGCAAGGATGCTCAAAGGAAAGATGCTCTCATCCAAAGGTATGAGACCGCGCCGGGTATCGCCCGGTTGCGCAGATTCTTGGCTTGCACGGTAGGGTTATTCCCGACACCCTATACCCTATTGGTTGAGGATTTCCTGCATGAGTTTGGGCTTCAGGGCTTGGGGTTCAGGGCTCAGTTTTCGGATTGTAGGGCTAGAGTAGCATGTAGCCTGCATAGGGTCATAGGTGCTCACAAGAACACAACAATTAAACTATGTGCCAACTTGTCATTTTGAATGACAGCTTGGCACATAGTTTATGAACGCAGGGGGAGGGGAGGCAGAAAATTCTGCGTGTCGGTTTGAATTTCATTTTTCAGACGGCATACTGGTCCATTGCCCAGTATTCCGTCTAGACCAACCCAAACTTAAACTACTTTGGACTTGCGCTGCCCGAAGCTCCTAGCTCAGATTCTGAAAAACTGCACTCTGCAACCTAAATTGTTCAGAAACCTTTTTGCGCAACTGGGCAGATTTCCAGGATACGTGCTTTCCTTGATGTTGGCTGCCTTCGCAACTGCTGGCGCCGGCTTTGCGGCAGGCGGCGAGATTCGAAGAGTCGATCCAGACGAGGAGGAGGATGCGACAGCTGAATAAAAAGTCTTTGATTTCTATTATTGAAAGTTTATTCTATAAACTCTTGCGACTCCCACGACTCGACTTCGCTGGGCGCGGCCCGCGCATGGGTTGCTTCCTGGATGGGCCTTGGCTGTGCACTAACTCCTTTTCTCTCAGGGTGTTGAAAGGGCCGCGAGGAAACGCATGCGCGTGCATGTTTCGGATTTTTTGTATTTGTTTTGTGTTTGAGGGAAAGCTTTCGGGGAGAGCGTATATACCGAATGTTGGCATGTCGCACGCAGCAAACAAATTTCGTCGTTGCAAAAGTGTGCAATTCTAGGTCGCAAGCGCGTGCACGTGCGAACATGGGGTAATATTTTGTTAAAACCTTGAGGCTTTGATCAAAACGAACTCGTTCGATGGAATCGTTCGCATAGGATAAAAGATCAGAGACCCAACCGCTTCGGATGAGAAGAATTCTTTAAGGGATGACCACGGAAAATTTTTTTGGAAGATAACTATAACTTGGATTTGGGTGCTATGACATGAATCCTCGTCAATTGGAGGCATTCTGATTTTGATTGACAAGAATTGCATAATGATTCTGATTTTGATTGACAAGAATTGAATAGTGATTGATCTTTTGATTTTATATATAATATATCTATTTGAATTGATACTTCTAATAATCTGATGATATTTTTCTATAATTAGAAAATAATTTATCTAATATGCGGAACCCGATTTTATTCATTATCTGAATTATCTGATTAATATAGATTGTTCTATTTTATGATCCTTCATCTTATATATTCTATCTTAAATCTTGAATTTTCTTAATTGAAGGATATCTCATTCGATTTACGAATTTTTCTTCAATATTGAGATATACGAATAGGATTAATCTTAGAATATTATATAAATATAAGATAATATATATATATTTGAAAAATAATTTAATTCACGAATCATTGAATATATTTGAATATTATTTCGTAATTGTAAAATATATGAATAAAATTCGAATTTTACGATTTTTATAGAATTATCTATTTGAAGATATAATATTGATATTCAATAGACTCTAATCATATTTGATTAGTTATTTTTTTTAGATAAAATGAAATTTTTGATAGAATGATGAATTATTAATGAATATTAATCGAAATCGGATCTTGTCTTTATGGAGGTTGATAATTATTGGGAATTGGAATAAATTAGATCGATCTTTGATACGTATATTTGAGAATATATATCTAATCAGGATATGTTTTTCTATCAGAAATTATAAATAGATTCTTTTATTGCCAAGAATATGAGGAGATTGAGAAATAGATAATATTGCGATTTAAAGGGAATTTGAAATTCGTTGGAGAGAATGATCGTAATTTTCTTATTCTTTCATATCAATTATAACTAAAATAAAAATAATTGAATATTTGATTATGATTTAAAATGAATTCATTAGATATTGACTATAGCTCTAGGATTTGAGATTTCAAAAATATATCAATATATATATGATTCTAAATATTAATATATTAATAGATTTTTGAAATATAAATCGACTTCAAATCGCATTTGAATATAATTGATATCTATTGAAATAAAGATTCAAAATATATGAATTATAATCATAGTTCTATTTCATATCGATTGAAATCGATATGAATATCTATCTGAAATCAATAAGTAATTGGAATCGAATAAATCTTTTGAAATCAATTGCAATCGAATATAATTCATCTAAAAATATTTAGATTCTAATTAAATCACTTGAAATTCCGATAATATCATAATTCTAATGAAATCGATTTAAATGCTAGAATTCTAAATATAAATCTATTGGAAATCAAATGATATATAATTAAAATTATTCTAAAATCAATCAATATTTGAAATCTAGATCATGAGAAATAGATTTATAATATATATCTATAAGATATCTATATATCATTTTGGAATTATTTTCTTATTCTTTAAATCATGAGAATTAGATCTATAATAGATATCTGATATATAAATATATCGTATTTCGATTTGCTAAAATGATAGCTAGACGATATGATATGATAGAAATATTGATTAGATATGCACGTATTAGCAAGAAAATATTTCTGAAACGATAATAGGAAATCAAAAGATATCTAGATGATGATGATTTATCTTATTAGAATATTTTTTAAATCATGAAATTTGGATTTATGATATATATCTATAAGACGTCTATATGATAATTGGGATCATCAAAATATTTCTTATTTTATATTCTTCGTTGATATAGATCTCCAGATCAAATCTAGAGGAATCGTCTTGATCAATATGCCAAATAACGAGAGGCATCATCTCGAGATATTATGAAAATCATGAAATTTTGGAAAATCGGAAATTATTTCTTATTTCAATTTAGATATTTAATCATAGGGACTAAGATTTATTTATTCAAATATTATCTCAAGAAGATTTGGATCTATTCTCGTCAATCAATCGCGGAATCGATATCATTCTTCTGATATTTCCGGATTATGATATCTATTTCGGAGAAATCTCATTTATTATATCTCTTTCTAGGCGATAATAAATTCTATTCGTCTATATATATATCTAATCGTCTATTTCCCGATATCTCTATATTGATGATTGACGTAGATTATATATGAAATAGATTGTAATCATCGAGATTTAGCAAATACGTTTTATTGGTTCTTGCCAAATTCCCGAGATTTCTATAAATTCTTATTGATTCTTGGGGACCGCAACATCTGTTGCAGATCTACGATATAAAAAAAAGGCGTGAAATAAGATTGATTTTTTGCCGCATAAACCAATTCAAATTCATATATCAATATATTCTCTTGGAATTGATAGTTGATCGCATATTCTAAACTTCTATATGATAGATAAATCAAGATTGGATAGATATTCATTCCTTGACTATATATTTTTGATATTAGAATAGTTATTCCCGACGATTGGATTGATTTTCATTATTATGATTTTTATATTGGAATGGTCATTCCTGACGATTAGATAGATTTTGGATATCTGATAATTTAATTTTGATATTCGAATGGCTAATCCCGACGACGAGATGATTTCTTATTCTCTGATAATATGGCTTCAATACGACGGGATGAGTTCTCGTTCGCTAATAATGATAGATCTCGATATTCGCGATCTCTTCTTAAAGAAATATTAGGAGCGAATATTTCGTCTTCATTTTTATAAAAAGGTATCTATGAGGAGAAAAAATTCGAAATAAAGATTTTGCCATGATATAAATAGATATCTGATCCTATCTGCCAAATCCAAGAAACGTTCTCCGATAGAAATTCCCAATTATTATCAAAGAAAATATGGAAATTCTTCGCAAAAATAATCTCTTTAAAATTCTTATTTTGAAATTCAAATCTTCTAATAGATATTCTCAATTATTGCCGACAACGATCCAAAAAATCTAATTAATAATCTGGAATCTCTTATAAATCCTAATTCCCTCTCAAGAATCTAATCTATATAATTTCTACGAAGAATTCTATCTCATATCGTTCTCTTCATCTCTATAAAATAAATCGATAGAGAATAAGATCATATTGAGATCCAATCATATCGATCTATTTCAAATAACGAAATTTGATCTCATTAAGATCTTAGATTAGAATATAATTTAGATATTGGAAGGATCGTATGATTTAAAGATTAGAATGATTGATCTCAAAAAATTGATAAATATTCTTTCATATCTCCTATAATTTTAGAATTAGAATTGCTATTCCCGGGGATCTAATAGATTTTCGTTCTTTGATAATTCAATTTTAATATTAGAATAATCGTTTCCGATATTTTGGTAGATTTTTATTCTCTAGAAATATAATTTATATATTGGAACGATCTATTTACGGCGAATTCATAGATTTTCTTTACTATCTATAAAATCTATCAATTAATTAGAGAAATAGAGATAAATATATATAAATAAGAATATAGAAATATATAAATGAGAAAATCGTATCGGCATTTGAATTATCTTCCGAAATATAATTATAAATGGGAGGAATTTTATAAATAGCGTCGCGAAATAATAACTAATTAAGAGAAAAGATTAAAATCTGATTTCTATTCGATATTCTAATCTAATTTGTATTTGAATAGATATTATATAAAATCTCAAGATTAAAGAAAAATTTCATTTTTGGGAATAATAATGATATATATGAATTTTAGATAATAAATAACGAATTTTCGACGAATAGATGATGGTATTTATTGATTCACTCTTTTCTCATTTAATGAAATAGATAGATATATATTTCTATGATTGAGAACAAAGATATCAATAAATTTAGTTTTATCTTATTCCTTCAAATCATTTCAGAGAAAATTAATGAATTACTTCTAGAATTTCGAATAATATTCCTAGCTCGTAATAATTTATTAACTAAGATCTCATACGAATAGATATATCTATAATATTCTTTTAATTATCTTATCAATATATTCGATAATAAAATCGATCGACTACCAAATTAGAGATCGAAATATTCAATAATAGATAAAATATAAATTCATATATAGATAAATCAATAGACGAAAAGATCGATAAATTCGAGAGAATATGAAATTAATAGAATATATATCTTATATATATATATTAATCGATATACGCAATCATAATAAAAGAAAAGAATAATAAATCCTAATCTTAAAATCTATAAACGATAGAATATCAGAATGATAATGAGAAATATAAAAAAAAAGATAAATCAATAATTTCTAATATCATAATATTCTCCTTTCGATTTACAGAAAATTCATCAATTCCAAAATTTATAAAATTTAGAATTCTATCAAACCGCTCCATCTATATAATGAGACATAAAAGAATAAAATTCATAGAAATTAAGACCTTCAAATTTGAATAGAAAAATTATAACCTCGAAATATAATAGCTCATAACTTCATTTTCAAGATAGTATGAATATAATATAATATTTTTCATATTCAAATTATCTATTTCAATTATTATCAAAATTAAGAAT